TATATGTATATATACATATATATGTATATATACATATATATATAAGAGCACGGAATGTCACGATTTTAGCTTTTTGCCTCCTCTCAGCTACCTGCAAGCTCTCTCAACCACGCCCACTTCTCGCTCTGCTGCACAGAGAACAGTTGATCAGCTGCAGCAGGAAGTATATCCTTGTATTAGTATTGTTTTGGTGTGTCCCTCCAGGATCATCAGTGGCCTCCATCAGCCTCTTTCTTTAAAACCTCTGACCTCATTTCACCATCAGAAAAATGTAGCCTAACTCAAACAACTGACTCACAGCATTCACAGCAACGTACCTGAATGATGTACACTTCTTCTCTGCCGTTGTACCACACCTCAAACTTTTTGTTGTCACCTTTGACGTTCTCCGTTATCCCCACTGAACTCATCTGGGTGGAAAACAAGAAACGGAGATGAACGAGCTGGGAACTGTCTCGGATGTTTGACCAGTCCAGGTCATTTCACAGCTCAAACCAGATATTTACATACACTGCATTAAAAAAACTAATAACTTCTTTGTCTTGTTAAAGGTTAGTTATGATGCACAAAATTACTTTTGTTTCATACATGACTGAATAAAGAGTTGTCGTTTTTGTTATTCCTTTCTTCAAAGTTACAAGTGTTCGTTAATTTTCTTAGTATTTGGTATCACTGTATGATTTGGGTTAAGACTGTGTTCTAGTTTTTATTCTGTAAACTACAATTTCAGTTTTGTATCTGGTTACAGTGATGTTTATTTCTGCCAGTGTTTTGTTTTATTCATCATGTTTGTTCTGTAACCTCTCCAGCCCGGCCGTTTTAGGTTTCTTCTTCTGTTTGCCCACTAACTCTCACTTGAAATTAATTTCTAATCATCTCAGCTGTTCTGACGCACCAAACTTCCCAGCAGATATAAACTCCCTGTTCTCCCTCAGTCTGTCAGATGTACAGGTCCTTCTAAAAAAATTAGCATATTGTGATAAAGGTCATTATTTTCCATAATGTAATGATAAAAATTTAACTTTCATATATTTCAGATTCATTGCACACCAACTGAAATATTTCAGGTCTTTAATTGTTTTAATACTGATGATTATGGCATACAGCTCATGAAAACCCAAAATGCCTGTCCCAAAAAATTAGCATATCATGAAAAGGTTCTCTAAACAAGCTATTAACCTAACCATCTGAATCAATGACGTAACTCTAAACACCTGCAAAAGATTCCTGAGGCTTTTAAAAACTCCCAGCCTTGTTCATTACCCAAAACCGCAATCATGGGTAAGACTGCCGACCTGACTGCTGTCCAGAAGGCCATCATTGACACCCTCAAGCAAGAGGGTAAGACACAGAATGAAATTGCTGAACGAATAGGCTGTTCCCAGAGTGCTGTATCAAGACACCTCAGTGGGAAGTCTGTGGGAAGGGAAAAGTGTGGCAGAAAACGCTGCACAACGAGAAGAGGTGACCGGACCCTGAGGATGATTGTGGAGAAGGGCCGATTCCAGACCTTGGGGGACCTGCGGAAGCAGTGGACTGAGTCTGGAGTAGAAACATCCAGAGCCACCGTGCACAGGCGTGTGCAGGAAATGGGCTACAGGTGCCGCATTCCCCAGGTCAAGCCACTTTTGAACAAGAGACTGTGTCAGAAGCATCTCGCCTGGGACTGCTGCTGAGTGGTCCAAAGTTATGTTCTCTGATTACAGTAAATTTTGCATTTCCTTTGGAAATCAAGGTCCCAGAGTCTGGAGGAAGAGAGGAGACACATAATTCACATTGCTTGAGGTCCAGTGTCAAGTTTCCACAGTCACTGGGGTGTCATGTCATCTGCTGGTGTTGGTCCACTGTGTTTTATCAAGCGCAGGGTCAATGCAGCTAGCTATCAGGAGATTTTGGAGCACTTCATGTTTCCATCTGCTGAAAAGCTTTATGGAGATGAAGATTTCATTTTTCAGCACGACCTGGCACCTGCTCACAGTGCCAAAACCACTGGTAAATGGTTTACTGACCATGGTATTACTGTGCTCAATTGGCCTGCCAACTCTCCTGACCTGAACCCCATAGAGAACCTGTGGGATATTGTGAAGAGAAAGTTGAGAGACACAAGACCCAACACTCTGGATGAGCTTAAGGCCGCTATCGAAGCATCCTGGGCCTCCATAACACCTCAGCAGTGCCACAGGCTGAATGCCTCCATGCCACTCCGCATTGAAGCAGTCATTCATGCAAAAGGATTCCCGACCAGGTATTGAGTGCATAACTGAACATGATTATTTGAAGGTTGGCGTTTTTTGTATTAAAAACACTCGTCTTTCATTGGTGGGATGAAATACGCAATTTTTTTGGGACAGGCATTTTGGGTTTTTATGAGCTGTATGCCATAATCATCAGTATTAAAACAATTAAAAGACCTGAAATATTTCAGTTGGTGTGCAATGAATCTGAAATATATGAAAGTTTCATTTTTATCATTACATTATGGAAAATAATGACCTTTATCACAATATGCTAATTTTTTTAGAAGGACCTGTAGGTAAGACCCAGAGGAAGTTCTGTAGTTGTTTGGTGTGTACGACTTCCATTTTGATATGTGTGTCTGCATTTGTGTAAAAAAGGTCACTTCGCAAATCCAAGATGGCCACCACCAGGGCTTAATTTGATCTGGATTCTGCTGCAACACGATCCGGGAACTTTTATTTTGACAGGGTGTGTTCCGTTAACTGTTTGCTTGGATCCGGTAACTCTCAGACTTACTAATAATAAAGTTATAAGGAAGCTTAGTTCTCAAACCTTAGATTCACTAAACTATGGAATAAATATTAAATAAACTATGACACAAACAGGCCAATAAAATCTATAATTTTTTGCATGAGTCCATTCCTCAATGCCACCTGTCAATCAATCCAGTGGGCTTGTCAGCAACTGACCAATCAGCTATCTCAATTTATCCTGATGTGAAACGCCCCTTACTTGAAGGATCTGGAGAGGTGGTGGGGGGGAGGGGGGTTAGGATGAGTGAGAGAAGTGAAGTGTGCTAAACAACTAGTAAGGTAATAAATATTCCTGCACTCAATAGGCTACACTTATAAATCACACATAAAGCGTTTAAAGTAAATTATAAATATGAATTGGTTTGGTATTATGACATTTGTGCTCCTAAGCGTTATGATGTGTGTGCGTTCCAGTATCAGTGTTGCCCTCAGTGCACCTTGATCTCACACCGCTATTTGCGTTCTGGCATCGTTTGGTTTACGAATTAAGCACTGGCCACCACCATATATAAATATAAACCAGCCACCCCAATCATTTGGGGAAACTATACTTTCAAGCAATATAAACACTAGAAAGTGAAAGCAGTTTCCTCAGATTATTAGTGTGGCCCTTGGGGTGGCTCAAGATTAATCTATGGGGGCCAAGGCCACCATTGTATACCCTCTGGCTGTGCCTCTGCACCTGGAGGTGGATACAATGGCTCCCTCCACTCTCCAGGATCCATCACTCTGAGCTGCTTTAGACAAGAAGAAACAAAACTCCTGTTCTTCTCCACAGTGTAACTCGTCCCCACTTTTTCTTTCATTTACCCTTTATTTATACAGGTAGTCTCATTGAGCCACGAGAACTCATTTTAAAGAGAGACCTGTTTAGGGAGCAGATGGTGGGGGTTAGGGACCTTGCTCAGGGACCCAGAGTGGGGTTAATGAGGGTGGAGGCAGGTGTGGGTGTTTCATCTTTTCCACCCACATTTTGATGTGGATGGTACTGGGAGTTGAACCTGCAACTTTCCGTTCACAGGCCCATCTTCTAACCTCTGTGCCACCACTCCCCCAACTTGAACATCTTGCACCAAAAACATTTAGGTTTACAAACATTCTCTGTTCAATTCCAGTCCAGAAAAACACTCGTCTCCAAAACTACAAACATTCACAATTCAAATCCTTCAGACAGGGACATCATCGAACCACTTGTTTCCAATTATTGACTCCAGGCTGCAGATCTCTATTGCTAAATTTTATACAAACATCAAACATTTTGTTACCACTTGAAAAGTTTGTCAAAGCAGAAAGGTACTTTTTACCGTAAGGTTCAGAACCTGTTCGAGAGGGTTTTTTTCTGGTTTGATATTCTACATATGTACTGAATCTGTTGGCATTAATCTGATTATTAATGGATAAAAACTGACTGTATGTACTGTGGACATGTTTTGGTTTGAATATAACAGGATATGATTTGAACCTGTTCATGTTTAGTGATGTGTTCATGTTGTTTGAGAAGACTTGATGGTCCTCATGAACTGAACTGACTTGCATGGGATAAGTCAAAATGAGGCGAACTGAAACCGTTCTTTGTTCAGCTGCAGCGATGAGTCCATCACGTCTCATCAGAACACACAACAGATTAATAAAACCAGAACATAGTGAGCCGAGCCACACCAGCCACGGTCTCTGACCTTCAGTAAGTGTTTGAAGCTGTAGGTCGGAGTCTTCTCGTGTCCTTCTGCGCTCTCTTCTCGTTTCTTACAAAACAACAACATTTTGTCGTACAGAAACAGGTGCCTCTGCATGGGTTTGAATCTCGCCAGGTCCTTCACCTGAAATTATAAAACGATTTATTGTTCCATGTGCCAGGTGGCCATTCTGATCCTGCAACCTTCTCCCTGTGAGGCGACAGCCCTGAACATCTTTTACTTAGAGAAAAGGACAAAAGTGAGTTTACCCCCGATTTAAATACTTTCTTGTGGAAGTTGTTTTGGGAAAAAAGAGGCAATGGTTAAACCTGCAAACTGTATTACAGCAGGTATGGAAACATCATCACAGAAAAAACACAACATGCTTTGATTGAACTGTTTAAAATCTAGAGCTCAGGAATGGCACACAGTGTGAGGATTGTTGTAGGTTGCTTGTTACCCTGTCTTTGTCTCTGACGCACCTGTCCTCTGCCCTAATCACACCAGGTGTTCCTCATTACCAATTATGCATGTTCCTATTTATTCGGTGTCTTGTCCTTTCTTCATTGTCTGTGGATTATCCTTCTTGGTGTCCTGTGTAGTGAACCTGATCTGACCCTGATCTGACCCTGATGACCTCAAATCTATCAGATGGACAGGGACTGTTATTTCATTGATCTGAATACAGTCTGAGCCATCTGATGACTTTCTTTCTTGAACTAATCAAGCAGAAAAGACAATTCTCTATGATCATCACTGTTTACAAATGTTTGATAATCAAATTGTGTTAGTTCACTCAATGTTTACAGGTTGAAGAGAACTACTCATTTTTATTTTACATAAACAGTAAGTAATGATTTTTATTCCTCATTTAAAGAAGAAATCAGGTTAATATGCATTTCTTGATTTTCTGTCTGAAATGAGCCAAGTTTTGTAAGTATGTGAAAGGTCGGTTTTCGGTCAACTAAAATGTTTACCGAGAAAGATGTCATGTTTAAACTTTTGCAGAAGATTACCAAGTGTGAGACTCCACGAAGTCTGAAGTCCTACAATAATCTTTCTGTTCGTTACTAAACAATCCTTGATTTTTAATAACATCTTACACCATACACCACACCTCTATTCCTGGTCCATCGACCAATCAAAAGCTCTCAAATGAACCGGAAGTCGACCCATTTAAAATGTGGCAACTTCCCAGTTCATGTGAGAATTCCGGAGAATTCAGGAGAATTCCAGAGATGAAGAACTAGAGAGTTGCTGGAGTTGAAAGATTCTGTTAGAGTCTGAGAAGTTCTGAAGAATGAAAGGAGTTCAGAGTTCTTGGGTGCAAACGCGTTCAGGATGATCCAGAGACGTTTTGGGATTATAACTTCTGTTTGAACAAACCACACACGACTATCTAAGGATTTCAGCTGCTCTCAACGGAGACGCTGAAAAAGTCTGGAGGATTCTCTATCGAGCTGATCTATCATCAACCAGGTAACGGTCTCCTCTTCAACTAAAGTGTACCGGAGGCAAGCTGAGATCTGATGAAGCGTGCACGTTCTGGACAAACAGATTAATTCCCTCACATATCTCTCTGTAAGATAAATCTCCATTTCATCTTAAAACTCTCCTCTTTCTCATAAAATCAGTACAGATATTTTAGAAATATCTGAAGCAAAGTCCTCGTTCACCGCCGAGTGATCGATGTCCCTTTTCTGTGAAACTTGTCTGTTATTATTTTCATATTTTGCCAAATTAATGTAAATGTTTGATGTTAAACTTTGATTCTGAAAATAAATGACCGCATTCATTTTGATGGGTCAAAGATAAATAACGTCTCTCGTTACATTTCTGTTAAATTCAATGCACGACATTACACAGTCAGAAAGATGAGGAACTCGTGAATATTGTATGCATATATATCTCATATATTGTCATACTACAACTAGTGGCACGTACGTACGTTTCTACTACACCTGCATACCTCTTAATTGGAAGGATCAGCTGGTCTCTCAACAAAATCGATCAACTTCTCCCAACAGGAGTCAGGGTAAGGAGGACACTCTGAACTCTAGAGGAAAAATTGGATTCATGGTGATGACTAGAATCTACTGTTTGGGTTGGTGGAATCTGGTTGTCTACAAATTCGTGTGGAGGTGTTGAAGCTTGACAGTGCTCGGACTGAATGTGGAGCTGTGACAGGGAATTGCAGCAGCTGTATCAGGACTGTGTTCTCCCTGGCAGCACTCATGAATGGTGGGAATAATCTGGAGAAGCTGTGAGCTCGACTTTGGAGTAAAGGATCAATTCGGCTGTTTTGGAGTTTCCATCAGAGAATATGTACCAGCGAGACTTTAAAGGAAGAAACAACAATTACGAGTTCTGCCTGACCCAAACTGTGGCCTTGATGCCAGACTTATCTCAACTCCTCCTGGAATGTTTTGAAAACAACAAAGATGCTTTGACTGTTTCCTCACCACTCCCTTCCCCAAGGCCGTGGACATGTGACAGAACTTCAACTGAGCTGATGATGAATGTCACCTCTTATCTGGACAATGGCTGAGGGGGGGGG